TCCAATGAGGCGGTCCTTCACTTGGAACCCGTGAATTCACTTCAAAATTCCCTACACCCATGGCTCTAGTACTCCAATTACAATTAGCCTATCACCACAAGCTCTAAAAGACAAACCCCAATCATTCATAGAAGCTGCTCTTTCAAGCAATCTTCCTATGGTAGCCTGTGCTTTGTTTTGCTTGTCATACTTTCTCGCTTCCACGTAAGCATAACCAGCAACATACAAATCAATATTTACAACTGCCACCAAAGGAGGTGATTCAGATGTAGCAGGCGTATCATCCCTAGATCTAGCTTGGACAGGAGACATGATCAAAATTTCAGTCTATTTTCCTATTTCAGATCATATTCGTCTCAGTGTGTCAATAGAACCTTTGATGACTCTATTCATCTAATGCCTCCAATTACATATAACTTTCTATCCATAAATACCATAGAACACATCTTACGTTCATGCTTGGTAAAGTCTTCCACATTCTAGTCTCTGAATTGTAAAGTTCTGCTGAGCTAAGTATATTGCCCCCATGAGTCACAACCACTACCTAGAATGGCAATCTCCTCAATGCTGGCAGAGCCAAACAAGCACCTTGTTGTATTCATTTCCATTCCAGATGACCAGGTGTTTGTGAGTATACTGTAACGATAAATGACATGCGCCAAAATCTCATTTCCAAACACAAGCAGTTAGGATAGAGCTGCTTGTGTATGGAAAGGAGATTTTATACATGTCATTTATCGTTACAGTATACGACAAACACTTGGTCATATAGAATGCAAATGAATGCACCAAGGTGTTTGTTTGGCTCTACCAGCGTTGGGGAGATTTCCATTCTAGCTGGCGGTTGTGACTCATGGGGGCAAAATACTTAGCTCAGCAGAACTTTAAAATTTAGAGACTGGAACCTGGAAAACTTTACCAAGCATGAACAAGCGGCGTAAGATGTGTTTTATGGTATTTGTAGATGGACATTTTTATGTAATTGGAGGCATTGGAAGAACAGAGTTGTCAAAGGTGCTATTGACACACTGTGGAGACTAATATTATATGAAACAGGAAAATGGACTGAAATTTCAAGCATGTCTCCTGTCTGAGCTACAGCTAGGGGTGATATGCCTGCTACATCCGAAGCACCTCCTTTGGTGGCAGTTCTAAATAATGATTTATATGCTACTGATTATGCTAACATGGACGTGAGGAAGTATGACAAGCAAATTAAAGCACGGGCCACCATAAGAAGATTACCTGAAAGAGCAGCTTCAATGAATGGTTGGGGTTTGTCTTTAGAGCTAATGGTGATAGAATAATTGTAGTTGGAGAGCCTAGAGCCATGGGTGTAGGGCATTTCAAATTGAGTTCATCGGTTCCAATTGAAGGACCCCCTCAGTGGAACTTGCTTTGACGGAAGCGATCTGGATGCTTTGTGTATAACTGTGCTGTCATGGGGTTGCTGATCATGTGATATTTGCTAATAGAGACAGAATGGGCTTCTGGGATTCTTGCCAATATCTAGCTCTGTTTCATAGTTTCATCTCGAACTTTAACCTTGCTTTCCCATGAGAATGTTGGTTAAAGTTTTCCATGTCTCTTTTCTCTGCCGTTTAACCATAAAGCTCACGTATCCCACGTAAGTGACTTCAAAAACCAATATATTGATTCCAAATCCATCATTTTGATCTGAGTTGTTGAACAGTCATGACTTTCTAGCACACAAACAACCAATCCATCATTCATTTTGATTCTGAATTGAAGTCCAAATCTCCAACACCTTTGTTGTGGGGAATCATACTTGTATGAAACTAAAGACTAAAGATATGGATAAAATGGGGGGCGGGGGGGGGGGGGGTGCTTATGCCACCCAAACCAACTGAGGGAAGTCACATCCATCCCATAGCAAGCACCTACAATGTCATGATCTCATTAGTTCACCCTAGTTTCTTTGGTAGTTTATCGTACCGTCGCCCCTCCAACAAGAAAAGGTATAGATTTGAAAATTTATCTGCCATTTGGATCGGAGAATTTATGGAGGAAATTGGGTTTTAAATTCCCAGAACCCGCACGATTATATAGCCAAAGGGAATAGGCCGACCTAAAATCATCCCAAAAGCTGCTAATGTGGCTACTAAGTGGAGAAGGAACGCAACGGGCTATGCCACCCAAACCAACCGAGGGAAGTCACATCCGTCCCATTGCAAGCACCTAAAATGTCAGATCTCATTAGTTTACCCTAGTTTCTTTGGTAGTTTATCTTACCGCCGCCCCTCCAACAAGAAAAGGTATAGATTTGAAAATTTATCTGCCATTTGGATCAGAGAATTTATGGAGAAAATCGGGTTTTAAATTCCTAGAAACCGCACAATTATATAGACAAAGGGAATAGGCCGACCTAAAATCAACCCAAAAGTTGCTAATGTGGCTACTAAGTGGAGAAGGAACGCAACAGGCTATGCCATCCAAACTAACTGAGGGAAGTCGCATCCATCCCATTGCAAGCACCTAAAATGTCAGATCTCATTAGTTTACCCTAGTTTCTTTGGTAGTTTATCGTACCGTCGCCCCTCCAACAAGAAAAGGTATAGATTTGAAAATTTATCTGCCATTTGGATCGGAGAATTTATGGAGGAAATTGGGTTTTAAATTCCCAGAACCTGCACGATTATATAGCCAAAGGGAATAGGCCGACCTAAAATCATCCCAAAAGCTGCTAATGTGGCTACTAAGTGGAGAAGGAACACAACGGGCAATGCCACCCAAACCAACCGAGGGAAGTCGCATCCGTCCCATTGCAAGCACCTAAAATGTCAGATCTCATTAGTTTACCCTAGTTTCTTTGGTAGTTTATCTTACCGCCACCCCTCCAACAAGAAAAGGTATAGATTTGAAAATTTATCTGCCATTTGGATCAAAGAATTTATGGAGAAAATCGGGTTTTAAATTCCTAGAAACTGCACGATTATATAGCCAAAGGGAATAGGCCGACCTAAAATCAACCCAAAAGCTGCTAATGTGGCTACTAAGTGGAGAAGGAACGCAACAGGCTATGCCACCCAAACTAACGGAGGGAAGTCGCATCTGTCCCATTGCAAGCACCTAAAATGTCAGATCTCATTAGTTTACCCTAGTTTCTTTGGTAGTTTATCGTACCGCCACCCCTCCAACAAGAAAAGGTATAGATTTGAAAACTTATCTGTCATTTGAATCGGAGAATTTGTGGAGGAAATCAGGTTTTAAATACTCAGAGACCGCATGATTATATAGCCAAAGGGAATAGGCCGACCTAAAATCATCCCAAAAGCTGCTAATGTGGCTACTAAGTGGAGAAGGACGAGTGAATAAATAAATCTCCTCAACTATGTAAATGGACCACAAATAGTAATTGAATAAATATATAGAATTAAGTAAAAGAAGGTTATAAGATTTCATAAATCTATAGCTAGCGTTTAGTCTACTCTTCATTTTCGTAAATCTAAAGCTAGCGTTTAGTCTACGCTTCATTTTTCCGTAACGGTAATATACAAACTTGTTTCTGGACACGTGCAACGCATGTGTGTCCCATGCAAAATTTTATTTGATTACATTTTTTATTAAAACATGAGTGTAGTAAGTAATAAAATGCAACAATTACAATAAATCTTTAAAAGTGTGACAAGAAACACCTAATGGGGGAGACGGATGTATTTCAATGTATAAAATACAGACTTCCGACAATTTATAATTCAATAAAAAATAAATTAAAAAAAGTCTAATAGAGAGAAAACACATACAAAATAAAAATAGAGAAAAAAATACTATAAATACATCATGCCCTAACTTTTTCTTTTTGTTGATATAATCAGGACTGATATAAACTTCAACTGATCAAGTTAACAAATATCTCAGGCTTTGTTCCTGAGTAAAATGATGCAATCATGGCGAAAACTCTGTATAATTTTCATTGAAGGAGAGTTCAGGTTCTTGCAAATTCAGGTGTTGATTTGATCGCATTCGAGACAACACCAAACAAAATGCAAGTTCAAGTCTTTAACCTCTTCATTTTTTTTACAATATCTCAGGTTTTGTTCCTGAGTAGAAATTTGTCTTTGAATGAATCCTGGTTATTCAATTTGTCTTGTTAGTTGTTACAAACTCGGAGAGTTCTTATCTGATATGAATGATTCTATATTCTTTGATGGTCACATACTCTGCTTGTATAACTTCTCAACCTCTCTTTTCTTTTCTTCTCATTGATAAACTTATAATGAATACAGTGCTTGTAAGATAAGAATTGTACTTTTTACTCAAGTGAAGTTGCACTCTTTACTTCTTTGATGCTGATCCCCTCAGTGTGTGCTCCCCCTCCCCCTCATGTCACGCCCCAAGTCTGGAGAGGCACAACCGGCACCTGGTGCCTCACTTGACTGAGCGAACCCTACATAAACCTTATGACTTTAAATTACAGAAAGTCTGGACTAACAAGTGTCATAGATAAAACTGTCTGCACAAGTAAACAAGTCAAAATATCTTTATATACATAAGACCAACGAGTCCCACAATCTTCAATGACAGCTAATAACAATACCGACAAGGCAGACTCACTGGACATATAACATACGTCTACAAGCCTTTAGGATTACTAGTTCATTATAACAACTTCTTTTAGCTTTAACATGTCTCAGACCGATTTTGCATAGTGTATCTCTTTATATTTTGTTTCCAAAATGCCTCCGTATTTAATGGAAATATTCACTGAGACTGTTTGTCTTTATCTTTTCAACAGCACACTGTTTAGGTGCATTCATTTTGACATTTGCTGGAATCAAAACAGAGAAATAATGCCAGAGTGATGTGTGTGCGTTCAGGAGCTAAGTTATTATTATTGCTTAAAAGCCTACAAAAAGGTCCAAAGACTGATTAGACATCATTTACATCACAAATATTACACCAAAAATAATTAAATTGAAAGACATCTAGCTTAGTATAGAGCATTGATAATTGTTAAAAATTAAGATATTATAACTTGTCTACAAGTGATTATTTCTTCTTCTGCAACTCCTTTGCCTTCGATGCTTCTTTCTCCTTCCCATCATTATTTTGTGCTCCAACTCTACAATGATTCTTGCAAGCCATTTCGGGTTTCCAGTTGAAATCATGAAATATATTATGGATAATCCAATACATAGTCCACTTCCATAGCCCATAAGAGCAGCTTTCCAAAAATCACTCAGAAATTCAGAATTGCTTTCTTCATCGTCTAGTGCAGATACAGTATCATTTGTATCTAATACCCGAGTATCACCACAACTTTTTGAAACAGGAAATCCACGTAAACCATCATTGCCTTCATATGAATTGTTCTCAAAAGTGTGAAATTGAGGTCCTTGAGGGATGCATCCTTGGAGATGATTGTGGGAGAGATTTAAGAATGAAAGAGACGTAAGAGAAACCAGTTGTTGTGGTATCTCTCCCGAAAGATGGTTTCCTGATAGGTCCAATGATTCAACTGAAGATAAATCTCCTAATGATGGTGGTATATGACCTCGCAATCCATTATGTGATAAATTCAAAATGTGAACTGCAATGAGATCCCCCATGATACTTGGAATTTGCCCTCCAAATTTATTACTTGAAAAATCGATAACGGTGTACAAATGCAAGATTCTCACAATTTCACGATCAAATCCCTTGGTTGCAACTGTAATAGAATCTTCATAATATGTGTCTTCCAGAGATGTTACTCTTTCCATTGATGGATCAGGTTTCCTCATAGATTTCAGATGTTGAAACAGACTCGAAGGTAAGTTTCCCGAGAAGGCATTGTAAGAGAGATCTATGATTCGAAGCTCTGGAAAAATAGTTTCAATCCTTAGAGGTTGAATGGACCCATGCAATGTATTTGATCTCAAATTTAAAACTTTTAGCTTTGGAAGAGTTCCCAACCACATTGGGAATGTGTCAATGAGATGATTATTTCCTAAATCAAGAACCTGCAACTCTTTGCAATTGGCCAAAGATCGGGGAATTTCCCCCTCTAGTTTATTGCCATGCAAGTCGAGGCTTCTCAGTGAACTTCCATTGCTGAAAATTGTTGGAAGAGTCCCAGAAAGTTTGTTGTTACTCATATCCAGAACCTCGAGGCCACTAATATTACCCAAACATTGCGGAATTCCTCCCCCCAAATTGTTTCTCGCCAAATCTAGCATTACCAATGATGTCAAATTGCAAATAGATGAAGAAATTTCTCCAGTGAGATTATTATCAGATATGAAGAAGTATTTTGTGGAATTTGGTGGAATAGGTAGTGAACCTTGAAGAAAATTGGACCGTAAATCAATAGTATGTACAGTCTGAAGAGGAATCAAATTGATACTCGTCAGCATATTGTGGGATATATTAAGATTTGTCAATGAAAACATCCAGTTAGACCATGCCCAATCAGGAATTCTTCCTTGAAATTTATTATTTGAAAGATCCAACTTCCCAAGATTCTTTGCATATCTTAGAAACTCCACTTCTTTCACATCACATTTGGCCAATCCCAACTGCTCAAGAGATTCGGGCAAAGTAGATTTGATTTTGTTCTCATTGATCAATGATATATTATTATATGAAAGACTAAGAACCAAAAGTTGTTTGAGGTTTGAAAATAAGCTAATATCCACATTGCCATTAAAATTATTGAAGGAAAGATAAAAGATTTTTAGGTTCACAAGGTTTTGAATTGAGTTGGGAAGATTGCCTTGAAGCTGATTATCACTTAAATTAATCTCTTCTAGTGAATTGGACTTGAAATGATCCTCAAGCTGACCAGAAAAGTGGTTATTACTCAAGATTAAACGACTTAGTGATGGAAGCCGGGAGAACATCCATGACGGTATTGTTCCATTCAAGAAGTTAGTCCAAAGGTCCAAATCCTCTATTCAAAAGAGATTCAGGAATAGGCCCTCTAAGATTACAATTTCTAAGAGAAAGAGAACGCACCAATGTTAGATATCCAAGAGACTCAGGCAAATTATCAGAAAAATTCACGCCACTAAGATCTAACTCTATGAGAGATGCACTACTGTTCCATTTTTTTGGAAAATAACCACTTAGTGGATAGCTGTAACTTAAATCAAGTGTTTCCAGGTTGGGTAAGTGAAATATACTCTCAGGTATTATCCCATACAATGTTGTAGATCCCATACTCAGAGTTGTTAAATGAGAAGAAAAATTCAAAGGAATGGTGGAAGAGATGTTTACGAGAGTAAGATCAAGCTCTCTTAATTGAGTCAAGTTTTGAAGAAGCAATTTAAAATCGTGAGCTATGAGTCTTAGACGACCAAATCCATTGAGACGAAGAGAGTGTAACTTTGAAAGATGGGAGATTTCAGAAGGAATTTGACCTGAGAAATTGGAGCTGAAAAGATCAAGATGTGTCAAGCTCGAGAACCTGCCAAATTCAGGGGAGATATGAGAACCGTAGAAGTCATTCGAAGAAAGGTTGAGCCTTTGGAGATGAGAGAGTTGGAAAAGGCTGCTATTGGAGTCAATGGTCCCAACAAGTTTGCTGCAGCTGAGGTCAAGCTCAATGACATCGCCAGTCATCTCATCGCATATGACTCCATCCCATAAGCAGCAATCTCCGCTCATGTTCCATGAACTCATATTTGGATAAGACTTTTGACCACGGAAATCACATCCAGAAGAAGCATAGGGATATATAGTAAGTGTTTCCTTGAATTTTAGAAGGGAAATGCTTTGATGCTTGGGACACAGAAATATGGATGAAGAAAAAACAAGTTGAGAGAGAAAGAAAATGAAGAACAAAGCTAAGAGGCACATATTGTTTGAGCAAGTCAAAAAGTTGTAGTGGGAATTTTGAAAAAACAATGCAAATATATAGGATGACTAAGTAATATGTTTAGCATCAATCATGATATCATCATCATATTATATTATAGTGGAAAACTTCTAAGTTCGATTTTCAATATCCACATGAAGTATTTGATTAATTAAAATTTTCATTGCGTGAGACGCATCAAAGTCATAAGCACCAAGTTTTTGACGCAGTGTGCCTCCAAATATCTTTTTCTTGCAACTGAAACTATTAATTATGTTATGGAAATTTCAATGAAAGCTACTTAACGAATAAATCTTTTTCACTTTGAATTACATATTAAGACCGTTTGTTGCCTTCACGTCAAATCATCATCAATTTTAAGTTTACAAAATGTCAAAGTTGGTGTACCTTGCTTTTGTTTTTCTTGTCCAGACACGACTTTTTTTTTAATACTAATTTCTGGATATGTTATATATAATTTAAAATTGGAGTAGGAATCCTAAGTTGTTTAAATTTTGTTATTTATGATATTTATTTAATTACTAGTATCTGACACGTGCGTTGCACGTATATCCCATATTATATGGTTGCATAATATATGTCTATAGTTATAAATTTATGTATAAATAAAAAAAATATTTGATTGTAATATAAATTGGAAAACATGTATAAGATAAGAAATCAAAACATATACCCTCAAATTTCAAACTATAAGCATAATAAGAATATGTATTTCTAATGAGTTTAATCAATCATACCTCGTAATAATCCCTGCAATTCATTGAGAAATTTTCAATCCATACATCAACATTCAACCGTGTATATATAAAGAAAACTTGAAATGCATAACGACAATTATATCTATATTTTTGAAAACACTATAAAGTCAATTTTCCTTTTTGCATTATAATATGGACTGCACACAACAACTTCTATTAAAAAAAAGGAAAGACAAAATTAGGAAAAATAGTATCAATAAATTGGAATGAAAAATGTAAAATTGTAATAAGAGGAAGAGAAGAAAAAATCAGTAGAATATATTTACCTAACCATGAATAAGGAAGTATGTTGAGTAAAAGAAGAGTAATGCACAAATGTGTGAGTTGATATATGGAGGAAATTGACAAATATAATAATCTGTATTGAATAATGAAAAGACAATTCTTCAATTTCTGCAAATTTTTTATAACTACGAGCTCAAGATAATATAAATTTATTAATTTAATAAATGACATAAATAAATAACATACATTGTACGTAATCATAACTTTTCAAATTCTTCTGTTATGAGATTTATGATTATGAATAAAAGCAATATCAATGTACTCATTTATCAAGAAAATAACAATTTAATTATTAAAGGGCTTATGAACTTCAAATTCTACCATTATGTGATTAAAATATTTGTATTTAATTAAATAATTGATCAAATTTTAATTTAGTAAAGGAGCAAAATGGTAATTCAACTTTTTACTTTGGAGCTTCCCACTTATAATAATACTAGTTTTCGAACACGTACAATCTTGCTAATTAGTATAAATACTTCTAAAATATAAGTGTACGATGTGTAAAATACAAGCTCAAATCAATGAACGGTGAGCATATTCAACTGATATTATGATCATTGCAAGGCACATCATACAAAAAAATTGTTATCAATTGAATTGCAAAACTAATACTATAATGACTTCAATTATACAATTCTTATAATATATCAAGTATTCAACTTGTTAAAAGTTCTTTTTTTTAATATGTTACAACACAAAATTTAAATATCGACATTATAGCAAAAGATTTAATGCGTTAAAGTTTCCGCCTTCGTTTTAAGGAATAATACCCTCCACTTTTTTACAAATGCATACATATCAAGAACTTGTCGTCGAAGGAGAGTGGTGTTTTGTAATAGTTGTAGAGAAATTCGATCAACATATATGTCTTCCATAGGATGGTTAGTAGATCATTATCAATTTCATAGTCTAAACCTACAAAAAAAACGTATTTATTTGTTATAAAATAATCATTGTTTAAATATTTAATTGACAAACATAAATAATATTACATGTATATGTACGCTTCGTCTTCTTTGACTCATTTAAAATTATTAATTCTGTCATATGTAAATTTTGACAAAAGAAATTTTTATCAAGTTATATACATACAATTGAATTATGAAATGCAACACAATCATTTGTGATATATTAACAGTATGGTAGAAAAAAAAATATAAACCAAAAATTATATGGTACAAAAAATAAATGCATATAAAAAAAGATAACTTTGAATATATATATCCTATGAACGTGTGTTGCACGTTTGACCTCTATCATTCTATTAAATTTTATACCGTCCCAACTCATATTTCTAATTTATTTATCTTATTGTGTGCCATCAAGTTCGTCCATTAAATCCATGTAATGTAAGAAATTTGGTGAAAATAAATTATATAAAATAGAGTCAAAAAAACTCTTTTTATAATTCATGGAAGTGTCATTACATGTTTATTTGAAAAACATATAATAAAGTGAAAGTGTCATTATAGGTTTATTTCAAAAGCATATAATAAAGTTCAACATTTTAACATAAACTTCCTAATATATAATATATTAATTGTCATTATTGATTTGTTTATAAAAGTTAGAAAAAAGTAATTTTTTAATTAAAAAAATATAGAGAAAAATATTTTCGTAATCTAACTTTGAATTTAAAATCTTCCACTTTTAACATAAAAAAACATTTGTAACATCAACCCAATTAACGTGAAAAGCAATAAGATAAACATGTCATCATACTATTGGGAAAAAAAACTTAACTAATAAATAAATTAATGCAAACCATATCTAAATGTGAAAAGTCTATATTCATCAAATATAAAAATATTATAAAAGTGAAACCGTAGATAACAAACATTAAAGTACTATATAGCACACAAGAATCAATAATCAAAATAATCTTTTTTTATATTACAATTAACTTATGAAAATGGTTTTCCTATTCTAATTAATTTTTGAAAATAAAAGAACCGCAATGAAGATTAAATATATTAATTTTAATTATTTGACATAATATTAAATCACAAATTTCATTTTTATAAAATAGAAGCTACAAATAAAGTATACATTCACTTATTATAGTTGATACATACTTTTTTCATTATTATTATATTGAATAAATAAATAAAAATAAATTAACACAGTGCGTTGACATAACAAAAAATGATCAAAAAGAAAAGAAAAAAATATTTTTTTGGATTGTATACTTGAATTTCACCCATGTCAAGCTACGGACGTTTTAGATACTAAAAAAGTTATTTAATGTTTAATTAATTTTGCGTAAGAAATAATCATATCTCAATTCATCATTCAAATCAACTTCCGGAAATGGAAGAAATGAAAAAAAGAGTTTGATTTCAGTTCTTTGACGTATATAATTAACTTACAAAATTCAATTTAACAATATAAATAGTATCAAAATTTATATTTTACCATCTAAATCTGCCAAATATTTTGCTTAGAACTGAGACATATATTCCTTACTAACATATGGTACAAAAATAAAATAAAAATTTACAATAATTATGCCAAAAAAAAAAGAAGAAGTTATAATGATACAAACAAAAATATACTGTATTTATTTACTTCTACGTATGGCTTTATTGGTGCACAAGGTGCAACATTATTTTTCTTCAGAATAATAATTAAGATTATTTGTATCTAATCAAACAAAAATAGAAAATAACATCATTCTTTATGTAATAAAGATTATCAATGCAACTGAAACGCAAATTAAATCAATTCCATACGTGATGAAGCAGACATACTTTATCAATAACAAATGAAAAACATAAATAATTGAGAAAATAATCTTTATTGAAAGCCTGATAATCAATGGAAGAAGAAGAAATTATTATGAAAAATTACAAGAATCAATAAAGCAAACAAAATTTATTTATTACAAATGAAACAATACCTGATACAGCCCAATAGAAAAAGAAATCAACAGCTTTAAAATTAAAATCTACTACAAAGTGAAATGATTTAAAAAGTTTTAGGTATATGTAGTGATATATTGAATTGGGAGGCCAAAAGTTTGGAAGTTAGAAGAGCAAAAGTCTGACAGTTGAAGAAAAATAATGAAGAGTCAATATATATTGTGATCTCTGAAAGAAAATGCCTTAAAGGTGTTTTTACTTTTAATTTAAAATTTTTATTAATGCAAATAAACGGAAGTAGCTACAGAAAATGTAATTATTGATTTGATTTTAAAAGTTAGATACTTTTTTAATGGAAAAAAATTAGTGTAGGGGTATTTTCGTAATTTAACTTTTGACTTAAACTCTTCCCACTTATAATAATATATGATAATAAAATAATATATGATATATGATATGGTGTCTAGTTAGAATTTGTTTGTCCAAGTTCATATATGAATAGGTTTCCTAGTCCTAGTTTAATTTGATTTCTTACTTTTATAAATAGGAACGTTGCTAATTATTTTAATATACAAAAATATACTAAGGGAGCTTAAAGATCCACTTTTTGTTTTTTTTTTCTTCAAAGGTTCCCTCAAAGGGGCTTCAATAGATCAGCCAAAGGAGCATGGAGGGGGTCAAACTTGACCTCCGCATTACAAAACTTACCCAAGCTCGAGGTTTACATCAACCCCACCTATGCAAGAGATGAATATATGTAACACATTTATCATTAGCCATGACTAAGTGTAACATCAATCCAGCCAGTAGTGTGGTTAAACTGTTTGATAAACATGAATGTGATAAACAAGAGAGGCAGAGAGTAGAGTAAAAGCAACCTACAATAATGCATTGTCTGAATACATTTTCTTTTGCTTGAAATAAGCTTTGTAATCTGATACCTACAGACACATAACCAAGAAATTAACATACATAAAAGAATCGTCAAAATGTCTGAATAGCAACTCGACTACATCCTTAGTTCAAGGCATGTATTAATATTTTTTGAATATTAGCTGCTGAGATCATTTCTTCAGCATCAACATAACACATGAAAATTAACAGGCAAAAATCACCTGATCATCAGCCCATGATAACACAATTATACACAAAGCAACCAGATCTAAGCAAGTTCCAATGAGGCGGTCCTTCACTTGGAATCACCAAAAGCTTTAAAAGACAATTAGCCTATCACCACAAGCTCTAAAAGACAAACCCCAATCATTCATAGAAGTTGTTCTTTCAGTCAATCTTCCTATGGTAGCCCGTGCTTTGTTTTGCTTGTCATACTTCCTCACTTCCACGTAAGCATAATCAGCAACATACAAATCATTATTTACAACTGTCACCAAAGGAGGTGCTTCAGATGTAGCAGGCGTATCATCCCTAGCTCTACCTCCGACAGGAGACATGATCAAGATTTCAGTCTATTTTCCTGTTTTCATATCATATTCGTCTCCACAGTGTGTCAATAGCGCCTTTGACGACTCTATTCATCCAATGCCTCCAGTTACATACAACTTTCTATCCATAAATACTGCAGAACACATCTTATGCCACTTGTTCAAGATTGGTGAAGTCTTCCACATTCCAGTCTTTGAATTGTAAAGTTCTGCTGAGCTAAATAAATTTCCCCCGTGTGTCACAACCACCAGCTAGAATGGCAATCTCCCCAAAGCTGGCAGAGCCAAACAAGCACCTTGGTTCATTCATTTGCATTCCAGATGACCAAGTGTTTGTCAGTACAGTAACGACAAATGACATGGACAAGATCTCCTTTCCAAACACAAGCAGCGCTTTGGCAGTTAGGATAGAGCTACTTGTGTATGGAAAGGGGATTTTATACATGTCATTTATTGTTACGGTATACGAAAAACACTTGGTCATCTAGAATGCAAATGAATGCACCAAGGTGTTTGTTTGGCTCTACCAGCTTTGGGTAGATTTCCATTCTAGCTGGCGGTTGTGACTCATGGGGGAAAAATACTTAGCTCAGCAGGATTTTAAAATTTAGAGACTGGAACCTGGAAAACATTACCAAGCATGAACAAGCAGAATAAAATGTGTTTTGCAGTATTTGTGGATAGAAATTTTATGTAATTGGAGGCATCGGAAGAACAAAGTTATCAAAGATGCTATTGACACACTGTGGAGACTAATATTATCTGAAACAGGAAAATGGACTGAAATTTCAAGCATGTCTCCTGTCTGAGCTAGAGCTAGGGGTGATATGCCTGCTACATCTGAAGCACCTCCTTTGGTAGCAGTTGTAAATAATGATTTGTATGCTACTGATTATGCTAACATGGAGGTGAGGAAGTATGGCAAGCAAATTAAAGCACAGGCTACCATAAGAAGATTACCTGAAAGAGCAGCTTCAATGAATGATTGGGGTTTGGCTTTTCGAGCATGTGGTGATAGGCTAATTGTGATTGGAGAGCCTATAGCCATGGGTGTAGGGCCTTCCGATGTGAATTCATGGGTTCCAAGTGAAGGACGCCCTCAGTAGAACTTGCTTTGATGAAAGCGATCGGGATGTTTTATGTATAACTGTGCTGTCAAGGGTTGCTGATCATGTGATATTCGCTAATCGAGACAGAATGGGCTTCTGGGATTCTTGCCAATCTCTACATATGTTGCATAGTCATATTGAACTTAACCTATGATGTCATGATCTGATTGGTTTACCCTAGTTTCTTTGGTAGTTTATCGTACCGTCACCCCTCCATTAAGAAAAGGTATAGATTTGAAAACTTATCTAACATTTGGATCGGAGAATTTATGGAGGAAATCAGGTTTAAATTCCAAGAAACCACATGATTATATAGCCAAAGGGAATAGGCCGCCCTAAAATCATCCCAACCGCTCCTAATGTGGCTACTAAGCGAAGAAGGAAGAGTGAATAAATAAGTCCCCTCAACTAACTCAGGGAAGTCGCATCCGTCCCATTGCAAGCACCTACAATGTCCTGATTTGATTGGTTTACCCTTGTTTCTTTGGTAGTTTATCGTACTGTCGGCCCCCCAACAAGAAAAGGTATAGATATGAAAGCTTATCTGCCATTTGGATCAGAGAATTTATGGAGGAAATTAGGTTTAAATTCCCAGAAACCGCACGATTATATAGCCAAAGGGAATAAGTCGCCCTAAGATCATCCCAAGTGCTGCTAATGTGGCTACTAAGTGGAAAATCCCATGGATAATTGCTGACATGGTGACAGAAATTAAGACATGCTTGCAAGACAAACAGTACATTATCCAGCACATTCTATGGGAAGGAAACACACAAGCAGATCATTTGGCAAACAGAGCTATTGACAAGGGAAATTGCTCATACACAGAGTTTAACAGTCTAGAAATAGAGGGGAGGAGGATTATAAATAGCGACAAATTACTATGTCCATATTTAAGAGTATCACCAACAAAGGGATAAGGGGCCTGGACAGGCTATAACACAAATTTTCACAAGCAACATCTCCCAGCAGACAAGATCCAACAAAGAACATCGAGCATGACTCATAGAACTTGAGAACACAGCTGAGAAAGAACAGGGAAGTCAGCAGCAAGAAAAAATCCAAAACAAGAAACTATACTACTTACTCTTGTTAGCTGACATACTAGCATCCATGACCAACATCACCATAATATTGATAACCCACAACAAAAGAAGGCGGAGATATGGATTAGTCCAAGGAGGCAGCAGGTCTCAAGTGAAGAAGAGATGGCGAGGTAAAGGAGGAGACTGGAGAAGGCGGCGAGGGGAAATGAGGAGGCCTTAATTAGGAAACCCTTCCTTAGTTAGATTTATAGGCCTACCGAGTGGGCCTATCATGTTTTATTTGTTGTCCTTTTCAGTTGTTTTGTAATGTTGGGCTAAGTGTGGGTTGGGCCATGCCCGCGGAAGTGTCAGGATGCATAATTTGTTTTGGATTTTGAATAAAACACGAAATTTGCCTTAAAAAATAAAAAAAAGTCCTATCATTTGCTTTAAAAAAAATGTGGCTACTAAGCGGGGAAGGAAGAGTGAATAAACAAATCCCCTCAATTAACTGAGGGAAGTCATATTTGTCCCATTGCAAGCACCTACAATGTCATGATTTGATTGGTTTACCCTTGTTTCTTTGGTGGTTTATCGTACTATCGCTCCTTCAACAAGAAAAGGTATAGATATGAAAACTTATCTGCCATTTGGATCGGAGAATTTATGGAGGAAATCGGGTTTTAAATTCCCAGAAACCGCACTACTATATAGCTAAAGGGAATAACCCGCCCTAAAATCATCCCAAGTGCTGCTAATGTGGCTACTAAGCGGGGAAGGAAGAATGAATAAACAAATCCCCTCAATTACTAAATGAGGGAAGTCATATCCATCCCATTGCAAGCACCTACAATGTCATGATTTGATTGATTTATCCTTGTTTCTTTGGTAGTTTATCGTACTGTAGCCTCTCCAACAAGAAAATGTATAGATATGAAAACTTATCTGCCATTTGAATAGGAGAATTTATGGAGGAAATCGAGTTTTAAATTCCCAGAAACTGCTCGATTATATTATTAATACAGCCAAAGGGAATAGGCTGCTCTAAAATCATCCCACGCGCTCCTAATGTGGCTACTAAGCGGAGAAGGAAGAGTGAATAAATAAATCCCCTCAACCAAGTAAATAGACCTCAAATAGTAATTGAATAAATGTGTAGAATTAAGAAAAAGAAGGTTATAAGATTTTGTAAATCTAAAGCTAGCGTTTAGTCTACGCTTCATTTCGTAAATCTAAAGTTAGCGCTTAGTCTACGCTTTATTTATTTCGTAACCGTAAATAAATGAAAGGACTCCATAAAACAATAGTCTTTTAATTGATTTTTTCCTTTCATGATACCCAAATTATGTCAACTTTCAAAATTTCCTCACTTTTTTCGACTCCTTTAAAAGTAACCCGTTTTAAAGTAAATTAGTCCTCGAACACGTGCATTGCACGTGTATCTTATGCTAATTACTAATTAGTATTAATGTTTTAAAATGATATAAATAATAATAAAGTATGTATGTGATCAAATTCGTAGGAAAAAAATACAAGTATGAATTGATGAATGATTAGCATATAGACTACTATTTAGTGTCATCGCAAAGCACTATATACTAAAAAATGTTTCAAATTATGAACGTGAGAGTATCATCTTGTTTTTGAAGGTGAAATATGAATTTGGGGAGAAAAAAGATTTAGTTAAGTACATCTTTACAATATCATTGGATCAGTATGATTCAAGCACCATTGTATCTTTAAGACTTCTTAGTGAGCTCAAGTGCAACAATGCCTAAAATCCAGATACTTAAGTCTTGATGGCAAGTTTCTGCATAATGAAATTACTTGTACATGCCCTTAATTACTTTTTTTTGGTATAGGCTTATGCTAAGCTTCTCAAAGAAGAGGTGTTAGCATTTCTTCCTGGTTTTCCTTCTCGAAGAGTGTGCTTTGCTCGCTAATTTGTGTACTCCAAGATACATTCAGGGGCTGATCCAATCGATCCGAAAGGTCTTTGATTTGCTTTCAAAATGATACTTTTGAAAAATGTCTTGTCATCATGTCATGTACCAATATTTACATTTAAACTCTGAAAATATAATTGGTTCGATGGTATATACTATGCAGGTAACAAGTTAACCATCCACAGATTCAACTAACCAACCAACACTAGAAAAGCAAAAAGTAAAATAACACAAATTCTGCGATAGATCTGCACTGCAGATTCAACATGTAGGTTAACATATAAAATCATTTCACTTGACCAATAAGTCGTAACACGCACTTGAATCAGTCTAAGTGTACTTGATTTCTGCATTTAGTGATGCTCGATGATAGCTTATCAGTTCCTTTAAAATTTCATCACACCTCTCAAGTTTTTGCATCTTCTGTTGAATGATCATCCTCTCAAGTTTCGGAGAATGAGCAAGGATGACTTGTATTAAGTACATTTCAGTACTTGTACCCTTGAATTTCCCTAACCTCACTGTTCGAACCAACTTCAGAGCTTCACTGACTTCTTTTTCTGCCTTAGACAAGTAATCAAACAGTTCTGTTGTGTGATACACTGTTTTATCAACCTAAAAAGATGTAGCACATAAGTGAAATTTATACATGTACAAATATATTATAAATGAGAAATTCCCGAGGGTCATTGTCACACAATTCAAAACAGATAATGTGCTTCCCCTTCTACCCTTTTATAAGCGATGCAGAGTTCAAAATCTGTGACACGCACCTAATGCACATATCACATACTGCAATTTTACCGCAAGAGTTAAGCCCTGGAGCTGTGTGTACATAGAATTAAACTTATACTAGTCGAGGTATGTCTTACCTTCACAACTTCATCTATGTCAAGTTCAATAAGGTTAGGAGAATTCCGCAGTAGGCAAAGTGCACATATAATACGTTTAACAGAAATCTTCAATTCACAAATCTTCAGGCTTTGCAAGTTTAGTGATACATCAAGCCTATCTGGCATAGGAACCGACTCTAAGTTCTGAAAGAGCAATAAAAGCATTAATCACTGTATTGAAAATTAAAATACTGAAAATCAAAAACAAAACAAAAGGCGATATTCTCACCTTTAGGGATGATCCATCCAAACAGAGATGCTTAATCTTTCTAAATATCATATTCACATTAAAACACTTAAATGTTATTGTATAGCTACTAAGCATAGACAAGTTCACAAGCTTCGGAGAAACAATATGAACATAATCAACATCAACACAAAATTTCAACTCCAACGTCTCGAGCATTGGCAGAATAAGAGTAGTCTCTTTTGACCTGTCAATTGCAGCATCTTCTAACTGAAGGCTAACAAGATTGGGGAATTGGGTACCATCAGGAAACTGAACAATACACCTCGATAACTTCAAATGTGTCAACATTGCACAAGTAAATATGCTATCAGACAACGTATATAATTCATCATTGGCCACATTAAGAGTAAGCTTCTGAATACCACGATTCGATGCTAAGATGATGCATTTATCCACATCTGACTGAGATAGTACGTGTGTTTCAGAGACGAGATGAAATCCCAAAATAGGTCCAGTATGTTGCATTAGAATTTTACGGATTATTCTAGCAGCAGAATCCCCAATATTAGATACATACTGAAAAAACAGATGATCAAACACAAGATGTGGCAATTTGTACCATAACTGGCTCCATTGCTTTGATAAGGTGCTCGTTCTCGCAGCATATTTGATCGGCATGAGTTCTAGTATTCTATGTAGTATATCAGTTGGTAAGTCACAAATAATAGACTTACTTGGATCAGTTGATACCATTCTTCTACCACATCGACTCATATTTAATTTTGTTTCTCTCAAATATTTTTCCACACAAATTTATATATTTGATTGAACATGAATTTAGAGGTCTATAAATAGCTGTCTTACTAGTAGGAGTGACCAATGGACACTTTTCTTGAATTATTCAAAAGATATTTTGTTGAACTTCCCAAGTCTTTTAATTCCCACAAGACTTAATAAAAATCAAACTGAATTTAGTACTTAAAAGTTGAAGAATAACTGCATTCACAGAATCCATCTCAATCAGCAAAGTGGCTATTCATTTACCCCAATTAACTGATAGAATTCCAAAATCAATTTATTCATTAAAGAGGTTTTACCTTTTTCAAAATTAATTAATAGAGGGTATAATATGTAAAAAAAAAATTGTTCTTTCTTGATTTGTCAAAATGGACAAGTAAAAAGGGACCGAGGGAGTAATTAACTCTAGCACTAATTTGTTTAAAAAAAAAAAATCATTTGTTATATATTAGTCCCTCCTATTCATATTATACTTGACCTTCATACTAAAAAAAAGTTATTTCAGTTTATTGTCAAATTTATGAAATCAAGAGAATATTATCACATTTGTTACTTTCTACCCTTAATATTAAATAACTACATAAAGTAATAGTAGTAGACAAATTTAGAGTTTGAAATTATTATTAATAAGGTCAGTTTGGTAAAATACACTTCTAAGTTCTAATTAAAGTTCGAAATCATTAATAACAAGGTAAGTTTGGTAAAATACACCTTTAATTAAAGTTTTCGTCAAGGGGTGTATCACGTCAACATATATTTATTATGGGAAAAGGATGAAAAATAACGTGTGTTTTCTTGTAACAGAAAAGAGGCATTTTTTCTTTTAACCTAGAAAGAGAATTAATTAGTTTCTCATAAATAATTTCCCACCCACCATAGTATTGAGAGAGTTGAACTATGAATTTGTGATATCTGCTCACGCTTTTTGAGGTATTTCTTCAGCTTTCTATGTGTTTATGATATGATTGTGTCTATAATTTGTATTATGTTTCTACCGTGATATTAGCTACAAAAGAAGAACTAACGAAATTGGATATACAATCGTGATAAAATAAGTGGAAGAAACCATACGTAGAAAAGTAGGGAAAATAATTTCTTGGTTTTACAACCAATACAGAATCCAATTAAAATATGAGAAATTATTCGCTTGAATTAATGGTGAAATTGTATTCTTAAATTATTAATCTTGCAGTGTGTGTTAGATTATTGACTGAATTTTTATAATGTCTTTTAAATATTTTCAAATGTATGTATATATATATATATATTATTTCAAAAAATTTAAACTTTTTATGTTCAAATTCACGATTTAGAAGTTTGAATCTCGAAAATCCAATCAAACCACATCGATTACACAAAGGGAGTATTAACATTTTTTTTTTTTGGTAAACTGTAAAAAAAGTACCATAGACAACCAATATTTACACGTAAAGAACACTCCAAGGAATCATAATGTACATATTAGTCATTCCGAGCCTCATAACTAGTAAGAAAAAACAACAAGCTAGTTACAGATTTTCTGAAGTAAACTACTACATTTCCGAACTTTCTTAGAGCCTTTTACTTGTTCTACCCTTTCAATGATCTCCTTCTTTATATGTGCAACAACTATTTCCGTATTTACATTTAGCCCCTCCAAATGGAGTAGATCCTTGCCCCCAAAATTGTTGTTGTCAACTCCTTTCTAAATTGTCTCCAATGTCGCTCTTTTACCTGTTCCTTCTGCATTCTACATCTTGACCATCTTTCCAGCTCTTCTTGCACCGTTGTTGTCCATCTACATTCAAAAATTAGATGCCGCTAGGATTTCACTTTGTTATCATACCACATACACCATGTTGTATAGTCCACTGGAATATGTAGCTTGTTCATTCTCTCTTTTGTTAACCGTCTATCTTTTGTTACCAGCCATAGTATGAATCTGTGTCTAGCTAGTAGAATCGAGCTCCATACCAGATCAGATTGCTTTACTCTCTCCAAGGTCCCCACCAAGTTGTGATAACTTTCACACTTACTGAATATTCGCCCGGAGTATTAATGTTGTTCACACTTGTATTTGAAATGACATATTTTATTTCCAATCACAAACCACAAACAACCAAAGTGAAATATTCTCATTAACCTGTGTATGAAACATTAGCATTTAGCAATATGTAATCAGACACTTTTTTCTTTGTAATTTGAGACTGCAGCTGATCTATTTGATGTTACGAGAATCAGCATGAGTCGAGGTATACAATCCTCTCTTTGACGCTTTTTTCCTCTTCTTTTTGGATTGTAAAAATTTATGCCTAAGATTTTATTCAATTTCTTCTAACAGATAGTAAAAGAGCTGTTTTTGAAGACGACAGAGGAGATAGAATCAGTAGTCTACCGAGTAACGCTATAGATTGTATTCTTGAGTTCCTGCTTGTTCAAGATGCAGCAAGAACTAGTAATTTGTCAAAAAAGTGGAGATATATTTGGGCCATGCTTCCAAATCTGAAGTTGGATAATCTCTTTTGCAATAAATTAGCATCAAGATCTCAATATGTATTCAAACAAACAATAGACAAGATTCTCTTACAGCATATCGAAGACATTGTGAAGTTTGATCTTGATCTATCAGGAGTAGAGTTGAATCCGTGTCCAGATATTGATAGATGGATACTTTATGCCACTAGAAATGGTGTCAAGAAGCTAAAGCTTAAAATGACGAAAGATGGTACTTACAAAGTGCCTTCTTATATATTTAATTGTTCGACCCTGACAAAATTGAAGCTCTTCAATTGCATTTCAAATTACCAAATTCTTTTCTTGGATTTCAGAGTCTTACAACCCTCCATCTGGAAAGAATAACCTTTGAACCAGCTACAGAGTTTTGCGTTATCAATACACCCCTTGTTTTCAAATTGATCTTGTTATACTGTAAGGGTACTCAATACCTCGACATTGTTGTCTCAACTAGGTTGGAGTACTTATCTCTTCGTGAGAGTCACGATAATCTCAACCTAAAGTGCTTTATGAACTGCAAAAGATTGAAAGGTTTATACCTTTGGGTAGATAGTCCAATAAGTGGTACGTTCTATTTTTACTTCATATGTTTAAACACGAGAAACTAAAACATGTTATTACCTTATACCATTAATTAAGTCTATAATGACAAGGATGAAACGGTTATGAAATATCTGGACAAACCAGCCTGCTTGGACCGATCACTCAACAAACTTAGCTTGAAGATGTCGTTATGCATTCTTTTAGGGGTTCAAAATCAGAGTTGATGTTTATAAAGCTATTGTTTGCTCGTGCTCCATCTTTAGTTAGGATGAACATTAAGCTGAGTAAAGGAGCAAAGGAAGAAAGACATATCACCAAAGAGTTGATGCGTTTCCCCAGAGCATCTCCCAAGGCTGAGTTATTCTATTCGACAAATGCATATTAGGATATTAATAAGTCAGTTTATTTGTTATTCAATGCTATTAATGTTCGTTGATCCCTTTTTTGTTCGTCATGAGTAGAATTAGTGATAAATTTGTTAAGTTCGGTCTTCGTCTCTATTTGATAAGATTGTCACTCCTTTTGCTATTGTCTTCACTCTTTCATATCCAATTTTTCCTATTTATACATGAATAGGTAATATAATTTGTAACCACATTCAAATTATAACATATGTTTCACATTAATCAGCTTTAACTAGTTCTAAAAGTGCAGAATTTGCTGTAAGAGAATCCCAACTATTGTTTCTTTGAAAGATTGAGATTTTATTGCTAATTTATTGTAAAAGTGTTTATCAATCACCAAATTGTGAAGTATGGCCTAAACATATCCCCAATTTTTTGATAAAATACTTGTTCTTGCTACATCGTAAACAGTCAAGAGACTCGGGATATATCATATGTATCGTTTATTGGCAAAGCACTGATTTTATCTTTAGTATTCAGTATTCACTGATATCTGTACTCGTTTTCTCATTCTTCTAAAACATCCTAGGATACCTTGTCAAAGTCGTAGTTGAAAAAATAAGTAATTTAAATTTTAAGATAATTATTCAATACCATATTTAAGGGATTTGTGATTAAATATTTCAAAATATATGGTAAAAATATTAAAAATGGTAGTGTGTGATTTTTATAAACTAGAGATAAATTAAGTATATATGGTAGTAAAGTATATGTAGTTAGGTAGTTTTTTCTTAATATTACCAAAAGACAAAAGCCCTACAACCTAAAGATTTCACCAAAACACTCTTCTCACCGCACGCTAATCTCTTCATTAACTGTTAATACGAATTCTGTTTAACAGATTCTAATTAAGATCTAATTATCCTTACAGCATGATTCCAGGTATACAATTCTCTCTTTTCCCTTTTTTTTGTTTTAAATATTTTCTTTTTGGATTATAAAATTTTAAGTCTAATATAAGCATTCAACTTTTTTTTCGAATAGATTCTAAAAGAGTTGATGCTGATATTGAAGATAGATTCAGTGCTCTACCAAGAAACCTTGTAGATGATATTCTAAGGCTCTTACCCGTTCACGACGCAGCAAGAACTAGTATTTTGTCAAAAAATTGGAGATATATTTGGGCCGCGCTTCCCAATTTAATGCTTGATAAGACCTTTTGCAGTAAATTAGCTGTAAAATCTCAATCTGTATTGAAAGAAACAATAGATATGATTCTCTTACAACATATTGGAGAAACTGTGAAGTTTGATCTTGATGTTTCAGGAGTACAATTGTGTTCATATGCCGATATCGATAGATGGATGCTTTATGTCACCAGATATGGTGTCAAGGAATTAACCCTTTTCATGTCAAAGAATATTAATAGTACTTATAAAGTGCCTTCTTATATATTCAATTGTCGAACCCTGACACAATTGAAACTCTTCAATTGCATCTTCAAATTACCAAATTCTTTTCTTGGGTTTCAAACTCTTACCATCCTTCAGTTGAAAGAAGTAACCTTCGCGCCTGCAATAGAGTTTTATGCTATCAAAACGCCACTTCTTGTCGAATTAATCTTGACACATTGTGAGGGCACTCAATATCTTAACATTGAGTTCTCATCAGGATTGAAGTACTTGTTTGTTCGTGAGAGTCACTATAATCTTGACCTAAATAGCAATTACTTTAGGAACATCAAAAAATTGACATACTTATACCTTGTGATTGATAATCCAATACGTGTTGATGAAAGATTAACTTTGGAAAAGCTTCTTTTTAGTTCGCCTACACTTGAGACACTTACTTTGGGTTTTTATGTACTTGAGGTAAGAAGCTAACATGTTGTTTTACTTAGATATCTACGTTATCCTTCTGTTTGTATAATTTTTCGTTAAAGCTTTTGAATGCAGGTACAGTCCCAAAGGGGCTTCATTATACACTCAACTGCTTGTGGCATCTACAGTTAGGTGTAAACTTCAACAAATTGGGTCAGACTTGTTACACTCTCGATTTGATTAAAAGTTTCCCCAATTTGAGTAAACTTGAGATTTGGGTACGAAATAGCAAATATATATGTATGATCTTGTTCGTTTTTGCCCTTGGCATACTTAAGTATGAGAACTAAAATGACGTTGTATTCTTTTAGGACAATGCTTTCGGTGACCCTGATGAAGCAGTTATGAAATATCTAGACGCACCATCATGTTTGGACCAAACACTCAACAAGCTTGAAGATGTTTCCATCCATATTTTTAGGCGATCCAAAGTTTTACTATCTTTCATAAAGTTATTGTTTGCTCATGCTCCATCTTTGTCAAGGATGAGCATTAAGCCGAAAAATGCTTCTAGTTCCAAAGAAGAATTGAATGTTGCTACAGAGTTGATGCGTTTCCCCAGAGTATCTCCTAAGGCAAAGCTATTCTATCATCCAACAGTTGGATTAAATGCCGAATGATACTTTTATCTGTTCTCAGTGAATTTTGTTAAAGAAGGGGATGTTTTGGCGAATTATGTAAACGTTTGGGGTTATGTTAATCAATATTTTATTTCAATAGTATATGTTTCAAATAATTAAGTTTTTATCGACGTGTCTAATTTATTGCTGGAAAGAATAACCTTTGTACCAGCGCGCTACAGAGTTGTGTGTTATCAATGTACTACTTATCAATTTGTCCTTGATACACTGTGATGGTACTCAATACCTACCTCGACATTGTTGTCTCAACAGGGTTGAAGTACTTATTTCTTCGTGATAATCTCAACCTAAATTGTTTTGCGAATTGCAAAGAATTGTCAACTTTATTCCTTGTGGAAAATAGTTCAATACCTGTTGGTGAAAGATCAAGTTATGAAAATTTTATTTCTAGCTTGTCTACACTTGAGAGACAGTTATTTTGGATTCATTTGTCCTTAATGTAAGAATCTGACATGCTTTACTTGTATGACTTTGGGATTAGATTATATTCTTGTCCATATTATTCTTATTGTTTTTGCTCCAAAGCTTTGGAGTACACGCAAACTTACAAAGGGGATTCCTTTTACACTGATCAACTGCTTGTGGCATCTAGTACTTGGCGTAAACTTGGACCAAATGAGTCAGACTTCTTACGCTCTCGAGTTGATTCAGAGTTTCCCCAACTTGAGTAAACTTCAGATTTGTGTAAGAATGAGTGGTACACGATGTGTTGCCATACACAAGATATATGTTTGTACTCTATGTTTACTTCATATATGTTTTAACATGAGAAACTAAAGCATGGTATTGCTTTGTACCATTAATTAGGTCTACTTAGCTTTTGACAAGGATGAAACAGTTATGAATTATTTCGAGTTACATAAAATGGGAACGAGATAAATTAAGTAGGTAAAATTATTTGGAATGTACATTTTTTAATAAATAATTATTAATTTTAGCAATATTTTTTGTTTATTACCATTTATAACAATACTATCATAAATCAGCAATATGTATTAATATAGTATATTTATGTAAGTTTACTTGATTAATTTATTAAGCCTCTTTAATTTTAACAATGTAAAATAGTTATTCGAACATAGGAGCCTAATTATTTTGGAAATAATAGACTAATTATGTCACTAGATTGTAACTTGATTGATTTTTGACGAAAATAAGAAGCATACTAAATATAAACAATATTTTTTAATAAAACGATTTTTATAACTTTTGTTTTGTGATTAATTAATCAACAAAAGACAAAAACCCTACAACCTAAAGATTTCACCAAAACACTCTTCTCACCGCACTAATCTCTTCATTAACTGTTAATACGAATTCCGTTTAACAGATTATAATTAAGATTTAATTATCCTTGCATCATGATTCCAGGTATACAATTCTCTCTTTTCCCTTTTTTTTTGTTTTAAGTTTTTCTTTTTGGATTATAAAATTTTTAAGTCTAATAAAAACATTCAACTTTTTCTAATAGATTCTAAAAGAGTTGATGCTGATATTGAAGATAGATTCAGTGCTCTACCAAGAAACCTTGTAGATGATATTCTAAGGCTCTTACCCGTTCACGACGCAGCAAGAACTAGTACTTTGTCAAAAAATTGGAGATATACTTGGGCCGCGCATCCCAATTTAATGCTTGATAAGACCTTTTGCAGTAAATTAGCTGTAAAATCTCAATCTGTATTGAAAGAAACAATAGATATGATTCTCTTCAACATATTGGAGATATTGTGAAGTTTGATCTTGATGTTTCAGGAGTACAATTGTGTTCATATGCCGATATCGATAGATGGATGCTTTATGTCACTAGCTACGGTGTCAAGGAATTAACCATTTTCATGTCAAAGAATATTAACAGTACTTATAAAGTGCCTTCTTATATATTCAATAGTCGAACCCTGACACAATTGAAACTCTTCAATTGGTATCAAAGCCAAGGTATTATCTGAGTATGCTCTGTGGTTGCAGCACAGTCTGAACTTCCACATCAGAAAAGATTTACTTTGGTCTTTGCATTGTTAGCTAGTAAATAGTATTTGTAGCAAAAATGGGAGACAATAAAAATGATGAGTCCACATCGAATGTCAATAATGCGTCATCATTGGCATCTTCGCTTATGACACGAATTGTGTCAAATGCAAAATTTGCAGTTGAAATTTTTGACGGGTCGGGACATTTCGGAATGTGGCAAGGCGAGGTCCTTGATGTTCTTTTTCAACAAGGGCTAGATATTGCCATAGAAGAAAAGAAACCAGACGGTGTAGGAGAAGAAGATTGGAAGATTATCAACCGTGTTGCTTGCGGTACCATTCGATCTTACCTAGCAAGAGAACAAAAGTATCCATACACAAAGGAAACATCTGCAAATAAATTATGGAATTCATTGGAGGAGAAATTCTTGAAGAAAAACAGTCAAAATAAACTTTACATGAAAAGAAGACTGTCACGCTTCACTTATATTCCTGGATGCACAATGAATGATCATATCACTAGCTTTAATAAGTTGGCGACAGATTTGCGGAATATGGACGTGACTTTTACGGATGGAGATATGGCCTTAATGTTGTTAAGTTCACTTCCCAATGAGTTCGAGCATCTTGAAACTACTCTACTGCATGGGAATGATGAAGTATCTCTCAAAGAAGTTTGTTCTGCCTTATATAGTTATGAACAAAGAAAGAGAGAAAAACAAAAAAACGGAGAAGCAGAAGCACTGATTACGAGAGGTCGTTCTCAAAATCATATGAAAACGAAGAAAGGGAGATCCAAGTCAAGATCCAGACTCAGCAAAGATGAATGTGCCTTTTGCCGAGAAAAAGGGCACTGGAAGAAAGACTACCCAAAGTTGAAAAGCAAAGCCAAACCAAATTATGGAAAGGCTGTCGTGGATTCAAATGTGGCTGATTGTGATGACTCCGATTACTCACTAGTTACAACAGATTCATCCAAATCATCTGATGTATGGTTGATGGACTCAGCTTGTAGCTATCATATGTGTCCCAATAGGGACTGGTTTGTTGATTTACAAGAAGGAGAATGTGGAGTTATTCACACCGCAAACAATAATCCTCTTACCGCATATGGTGTTGGTTCAATTAGATTAAGGAATCATGATGGATTGACCAGAACATTAACAGATATTCGGTATGTACCGGATTTGAAGAAGAATCTCATTTATGTTAGAGCCCTAGAGTCAAAGGGATTCAAAGTCATTGCAGATAATGGCGTAATGAGAATATGCTCCGGTGCGCTAGTGGTAATGAAGGCAATTCGAAGAAATAATAACATGTACCACTATCAAGGTAGTACAGTTATTGGGACAGCAACAACAACATCCAATGACGACAAGGAGGCAGAAATGACCAGGCTGTGGCATATGCGCTTGGGACATGCTGGAGGAAAATCCTTGAAAACTTTATCAGATCAAGGATTGCTAAAAGGAGTAAAAACTTGCAACTTGGAGTTTTGTGAGCATTGCGTCAAGGGAAAGCAAACAAGGGTTAAATTTGGAACAGTTATCCATAATACGAAAGATATTTTGGATTATGTTCATTCAAATGTTTGGGGTGCTTCCAAAACACCTTTATTAGGTGGGAAACACTATTTTGTAACCTTTGTTGATGACTTTTCCCGAAGACTGTGGGTGTATACAATGAAAACAAAAGATGAAGTATTGGGAATTTTTCTCAAATGGAAGGCGATGATAGAAACTCAAACTGGAAAAAAGATCAAGTGTCTTCGCACAGACAATGGTGGAGAATACAAAAATGATCTTTTTCAAAAAAATTGTGATGAAAATGGCATCGTCAGACATTTCACCGTCAGAAATACACCACAATAGAATGGAGTGGCAGAACGCATGAACCGAACTTTGCTGGAGAAGGTTCGGTGTATGTTGTCCAATGCTGGCTTGGGCAAAGAATTTTGGGCTGAGGCAATAACATATGCATGTCACCTCATTAATCGTCTACCATCTGCTGTTATAGGTGAGAAAACACCATTAGAAAAATGGTATGGAAAACCTGCTGAAGATTATGGTTCTTTATATGTATTTGGCTCAATTGCATATTATTATGTAAGGGAGTCAAAATTGGACCCAAGAGCAAATAAAGCTTTATTTATGGGAATTACTTCTGGAGTCAAGGGATATCGTTTCTGGTGTCCAGAGACAAGAAAAATTGTTTTTAGCAGGGATGTTACCTTTGATGAATCTGCCTTGACAAATAAGGTAACAGTTGAAGAAGTCAAACAAACTAATGGTGCTTCAAAGCAAGTGGAGTTTGAGGGAAAGATAATTTTCCCAACACATGGATCAAATGAGGAAACAACAGAAGTTTTTCCTCTGGAAGAAGAGTCAGTCGAAGGGGAGGTTCCATCTCAAGAACTTCAACCACAACTTGAATCAATAGCAACCAGCAAGCCAAAAAGGACACTAAGAAAACCTGCTCGACTCATAGATGTGGTGGCTTGCGCGGACTCAATTGCAGCGGATGACATTCCTACCACTTATAAAGATGCAGTCCAAAGTTCAGAAGAAGATAGGTGGAGGTTTGCCGTGGATGAAGAAATGCAGTCCCTTCATCAAAATCATACATGGAAATTGGCCAATTTCCCGGATGGCAAGAAAGCAATTGGGTGCAAATGGTATTTGCAAAGAAAGAAGGATTTCCTAACCAAGAAGATGTTCGCTACAAAGCAAGATTGGTGGCCAAAGGATACGCTCAAAAGGAGGGAATTGACTATAATGAGGTATTTTCTCCAGTTGTGAAACACTTCTCCATTAGAGTTTTGTTGGCTTTGGTAGGACAGTTGAATTTGGAACTAGTTCAGTTGGATGTAAAAACTGCATTTTTACATGGAGACTTGGAAGAGGAAATTTACATGACTCAGCCAGAAGGATTCAAAGTTGATGGAAAAGAAAATATGGTGTGCAAACTTGAAAAATCGTTGTATGGGTTGAAACAATCTTCTAGACAATGGTACAAACAATTTGACAAGTTTACGTTGCAACAAAGGTACATAAGAAGCAAATATGATCATTGTGTGTATTTGCGCAAGTGTCACGCCCCGAGCCTACACCCTGGGCGGGACCGGCACTCGGAGACCATTGCTAGCCCCAAGCGAACCCTTGGCCTGTCTTTCTTAACTCAGCGGAACTTAACTCAACATCATAACTCAATGTAAAGAAAGGTTATTACCAACCAACTGATAAAAACTAGCCAAAAAGGCAACTCGAGTCTCAAAATAGAATATTTACATATATACATAGATAAGAGACTCAAAACTAACTGACTGACTGTCTATGAAGCCTCTAAAATACTGAGATGGATGTTGGGACAGACCCCGCAATATCCTAATAGAACAAAACTAAGTACACAAAATAATTGAGTCCTCCGGAAAGCAAGGAGGCTCACCACTGACTCTGGAGTGCTCAGCTGGATCAACGACGTGCAGGATGCTGATCTGGGGTACCTGTATCTGCATCGTCATAAGATGCAGGCCAACTGGCATCAGTACATGGAATGTACGAGTATGCAAGCTGGAAACTAAGCAGCAAAGGCTAGAAGGAAATCTGGAAGAAACTGAAATAGCTTACCTGGCTCAATTCGACTTGACTGACTTCTTTCAATATAAGACAATTTAAAACAAGTGCGATATAAAGAAAGACTATTTAAAACATGCTATAAACTCTGTGTGTATACAAAGATACAATAAGGCTGAAATGTATATAGAAATACAATGAACTGATGTATATAAAAAAAATACAATAGCTTCTGTGTATGAAAATACAATAACTGTTGTGGGAGTTTCTCTAACCGACAACCATCACATGAGAGCTATAGTGATGATACAGCGATCGACCTCACGCTACCAGAGCATCTTATACCCGGCCAAAGGTATAAGACCTGAACTGCCTAATGGATCAACTAGTCTAATCTGAAAAGGATTCATCTAAAAAGTATGAACCTTTTCTACCCATGGTGGCTAACATGGTTCTATGGGGCTGTGGGTTCTTTGAACGCTCCCCCAATTCGGTGCTCGATACTACTCCCAAAAATGTACTGGCTCTTATGTTTTTAAAACATATTTCTTCCTGTTGATATGAGATAATTACTCAAAAACTAGCCCGAAGGCTCCTTTGGAAATCTCAGTTTCCAACCTTGTTTAAATGTAGAAACATTTCTTTAAAACTTCTTTGGGAATACATAGTTCCCTAATAACTTTGAGAAATGACTCAACTTGGAACTCTTGACTCTTTACTCTTTACTTGACTTGCAACTTGAGCCTTAGAATGAAGTGAAAACGTTCAATAAAGACTCTCGAACAACTTTGAAAACTTACTTGAACTAACTTCTTAACTTTGCTTGACTTGACTCTAACTTCTCTTTAACTTGATACTAACTTGCCTTGAATTGAACTATGGATTCAAGGTGTATGATCACACGTATTTAGATGAGTTTGGGATGTTTAGAAACACTTTGGGGTGTTGGAAACAACTAGGGAACATAGGTATAACACCTAGGAACATGCATGGAAAAAATAGGAAAACTTGGCGCTCTGAGAGGCGCGGAGCGCCAGACCCAAAACTTCAGAGAAGGCCTGCTGGGGTACTGAGAGGCTCGCCGCCCCAAGGGAAAAACCTCAGAGCCCCTTTTGGGGCGCGCTGGCAGGCACGACGCGCCGACCCCTTGCCCAGAAAACTCGACTTTTCTCCCTCTTTTCTTCAACTCTAAACCACCCTAACTTCAAGGGTTCCAATCCCAACCACTAAGGATCATAAATTCCCTCAACATACAATAGATTATAACTCAATACACAACCCAATCATGTCCCACAACCAACAATAACTTCAACAACACAACTAACAACATCAACAACAACTAACAACTAACAACTTCAACAACTTCAACAACAATTCCAATCTTTTCTCAAATCATAAAATGAGCTTGGTGTGTGGGGGAAAGGATCAACCCACACAAAGAACTCACATACCTTGATAGGGATCACCCCCGACGATTTCCACGACGGAAACTTGTTGATCTCCTCTTCTTCTCTTCTTCTTCTCTTCTTCACTCTCAAGAACCCTAACTTTCTCTCTTTAAAATGGGATAAAAATGATCCAAAATCAGCCTAACACACCATATAATTCCAAAAGAAATGGCTAGGGAAAAGACCAAAATGCCCTTAATTTTCCGGACAGATTTCCCTGCCAACTGCCCAACTTCTAAAAGGCATAACTCGCTCATACGAACTCGGAATTGAGAAAACTCGGCGGCGTTGGAAAGATCATTCCACAAGATTGACAACCATAACTGGAAATACTCCTAACTCATCCTGAGATGGAAGTTATGACTGCTCAAAGTTGGCCAAAAACTCACTGATTTCCACACTTAGCCAATTTTCCAGATTTTTAAATTTTTCCAAAAATGACTATTTCCAAATTTCAAGCTTTTCCATAGTTATTTCAAATTGCCGGATGTTACAGCAAGCTTGAAGACGATTCCTTTATATATCTTCTCCTATATGTTGATGATATGTTGATCGCTTCTAAAAGTCAATAGGAAATTGAGAAGCTAAAGATACAACTAAAAAGGGAGTTTGAGATGAATTATTTGGGTGAGGCAAAAAGGATTCTTGGCATGGAGATAAAAAGAAATCGCCATTCAAAGAAGCTTTTTTTTTTATCTCAGAAAGAATATTTGAAGAGGGTACTAAATCGATTTGGCATGAATGAGAAAACGAAGTCGGTTAGCACTCCGCTTGCTCCTCATTTTAAGCTTAGTGATGCTATGTCGCCAAAGAATGAAGTTGCACGAGAATATATGTCAAGAGTACCATATGCGAATGTTGTTGGTAGCTTGATGTATGCAATGGTTTGCACAAGGCCAGATATTTCACACGTTATTGGAGTTGTAAGCAGGTACATGCATAATCCTGGAAAGGATCATTGGCAGGCTGTAAAATGGATTCTACGGTATATTCATAATACTGTAGATATTGGCTTGGTTTATGAGCATAAAGATAGTCAACATCTTATTGGATATTGTGACTCAGATTATGCAGGTGATTTGGACAAACGAAGATCAACTACTAGTTATGTTTTCACTATTGCAAACGCACCAGTTAGTTGGAAGTCTACTTTGCAGTCAACAGTTGCTTTGTCTACCACTGAGGCAGAGTATATGGCAATTACAGAGGCTGCGAAGGAGGCAATTTGGCTTCAAGGATTGCTTAGAGAGCTTGGTATTGGACAAGAAGGAATCACAATATTTTGTGATAGTCAAAGTGCTATTCAATTAGCAAAGAACCATGTTTATCATGCAAGGACGAAGCACATTGATGTCCGATATCATTTCATACGAGACATCATAGAAGAAGGTGGAGTCACAGTGCAGAAAATTCATACTATGGATACTCATGCCGATATGCTGACAAAAGTGGTGACTGCGGTCAAGTTTCAACATTGTTTGAACTTGATCAACATTGTTGAACATTGAACATTGAAGATTGAGGTTGAAGACACAATCAAAAGTTGTTGAGAGAAAGTTGAAAATGGAGAATCTTGCCAAGGTGGAGATTTGTTAAATTTGACAAGATTCAAAGATGAATTAATGTGAAGATTTGGTAGTTAGGAAGATAATTCTTCATTGGTACAAAAGTCAAGATAACATCTTTTGTAGGTGAAATTTAGGTGAACCATAAAATGGCTTCACAAGGTAAATCTTGACATTTTGACAAATATTGTGATGTCATGGATGACATCAATAGGAAGAATTCACTCCTATAAATAGGTAGTTCCTAATTCATTTGTAACACACCTCTCACTTGCCTTCTCATCTTCAACGGCATTTGATCTTCTTTCTCTCTTGTAGTATTTAACTTGTACTCTTTTGGAGTGAAATAAATATTGGTTGGTTGTGTCCGAGGAGTAGGCAAAAGAAAACAAAAGTTTGCCGAACCTCGTTAATTCCTGGTGTTCTTTTTATTGTTGTCTCATTTACTATTTATTAGCTACCTTTAGATATAGCAGTTGTGATTCCATCACTCTCTATATATTCGGCTTCCGCAACATCAATTGCATCTTCAAAATACCAGATTCTTTTCTTGGCTTTCAGACTCTTACTGTCCTTCGGTTGATAGAAATAACCTTTGTGCCCGCAATAGAGTTTTATGCTATCAAAACACCCCTTCTTGTCAAATTAATCTTGACACATTGTGATGGCACTCAATATCTTAACATTGAGTTCTCATCAGGATTGAAGTACTTGTCTGTTCGTGAGAGTCACTATAATCTTGATCTAAATAGCAATTGCTTTAAGAATGCCAAAAAATTGACATACTTATACCTTGTGATTGATAATCCAATACGTGTTGATGAAAGATTAACTTTGAAAAAGCTTATTTTTAGCTCGCCTACACTTGAGACACTTTGTTTGTCTCAATATGAACTTGACGTAAGAAGCTAATTAACATGTTGTTTTACTTAGATATCTACGTTATCCTTCTGTTTGTATAATTTTTCGTTAAAGCTTTTGAATGCAGGTACAGTCCCAAAGGGGCTTCATTATACGCTCAACTTCTTGTGGCATCTAAAGTTAGGTGTAAACTTCAACAAATTGGGTCAGACTTGTTACACTCTGGAGTTGATTAAAAGTTTCCCCAATTTGAGTAAACTTGAGATTTGGGTACGAAATAGCAAATATATATGTATGATCTTGTTCGTTTTTTCACTTGACATACTTAAGTATGAGAACTAAAATGACGTTGTATTCCTTTAGGACAATGCTTTCGGTGACCCTGATGAAGCAGTTATGAAATATCTAGACACACCATCATGTTTGGACCGAACATTCAACAAGCTTGAAGATGTTTCCATCCATTTTTTTAGGCGTTCCAAAGCTGTACTATCTTTCGTAAAGTTATTGTTTGCTCATGCTCCATCTTTGTCAAGGATGAGCATTAAGCTGAAAAACGCTTCTAGTTCCAAAGAAGAATTGAATGTTGCTACAGAGTTGATGTGTTTCCCCAGAGTATCTCCTAAGGCAAAGCTATTCTATCATCCAACAGTTGGATTAAAGGCTGAATGATACTTTTATCTGTTCTCAGTGAATTTTGTTAAAGAAGGGGATGCTTTGGCGAATTATGTAAACGTCTGGGGTTCTGTTAATCAATATTTTATTTCAATAGTAGATGTTTCAAAATTTAAGTTTTTTTATCGACATGTCTGATAAGATTAGCACTGCTGCCTTTATTTGCTGATTTTTTTCTTATACATTTAACCGGGGAAGGAATGGCTTGGGCGAGGATCAAGAAAACGCATTCTTTTGAACATTTATTTGCTGATATTCTAAGCCTCTTACCCGTTCACGATGCAGCAAGAACTAGTATTTTGTCAATAAATTGGAAATATATTTGGACCACGCTTCCCAATTTATTGCTTGATAAGCACTTTTTCAATGAATTAACTACAAATTCTAAATTTGACCTCAAGGAAATAGTAGACATGATCCTCTTACAACATGCATATTGGAGACATTGTGAAAATTGTTCTCGATTTTGCACGAGAAAATTTGTTATCATTTGCAGATATTGATAGATGGATGCTTTATGTCACGAGAAATGGTGTCAAGGAGCTAATACTTGCTGGTCTACGAAATAGTAATTATAGAATCCCTTCACATGTATTTAATTGTCCAACTCTAATAAAGTTGGAACTCTACAACAGTTTAATCGAACCACCAATTTCATTTTGTGGGCTTTTAGAATCTTACAGACCTTTATTTTAATAAAATGAGATTTATTAATGTACCCCGTCTTGTGAATTTGACCTTGATACGTTGTAAAGGTACTCAATACCTCAAATTTGTTGTCTCATCGCGGTTGAAAGTCTTGTTGACCTTGATGAGTCGGATAATGGATGCATCCACACGTTAATTTTCAATGTGAGTTCTACTTTGACCTATAGCTCTCACTTATATACTTGTTTATTTGTAGGATCCAGATACGGGTGCAAGGATTCTCCTATCATTATTATGTAATTTGATTAGTCCATCCCATATTAGCTGAAGTGACAAAGATGGAAGGGCTGATCGGAAGAATCTTAGTAATTCAGCTGGTTGGCATCTGAACTTTCACCTTAGCTTGCTGGTGAGGGTTTGATTCCCTCACGTTGTAATTCCCTCCTCCATTTCCCCTCCCCCTACCCCTAGTTTTTTCAAAACAAGGGCTGATCGAAATTGTCTTGTCCTATGTATTTTCTCGTTAATCTGATACATTTTAGTGAAAGATAGAAAGAAAATGGATCTTCTTTAGTAAGGAGAATGACAGAGTATATTACCTCGCTTCTTCGAAAAAAGTGTAGGTTCATTCTTACTTCTTTTGAAATGTTGCTCTTGAAAAAAAAAGAGTCATTTTTGCTAAACCATGCCCATGGAGCTTGCATTAGACCGTACAATTCAATCGGTATACTCCCTCCTTTTTTTTCTTTAAAGTCGATATCTTGTTGTTTGGGAGTATTTTTTATTTTTTTTGCAACAAGTCGAGCTTTATTCCTTTTGACACTTCCATCAGCATAGTACTTTGTTCTGAAAATCTATTTTAGCCCTTCTTCCCTTTAGGAAAATCAACCAACTCTCGTGTTTGATTTTTCTCGATGGTCTGAATCTCTTCAATCGTCGCATTCTGCCACTCTGGTTACTTTGCAGCTTCTTCATAACATGTCGGTTCAAGTATGTCTGTATGTTCTGCTTCTGATTGAACCGGAATGTGGATGACTGAATCTTCTTGTCGTTCCACTCCCAGGCTGCTTTTTCATTGAATACGAAATTCCTGTTGATAATCACTTTGCAACTATAGTACGATTATATAATCTGTATGCTTAGGATTGAGAACTATAACAATAAAATACTTTCTCTGGTTTTCCGTCAAGTTTAGAGCGTAAATTAACCAAAGAATAAGCTATACAACCAAAGACTTTCAAGTGGCTAACTCCTGGTTTCCGTCCCGTCCAAGTTTACAGTGTGATTCAAAAATGCTTTTGAAAATTCTCTCAACTTTACTGTGTAATCAGACATAAGCAGTTGAAAAAATCTGCTTCACTGTATGATTTTAGTTTTGTTGGGATATAAGATACAGATGAAAATACCTTCATAGTTACTCATATACACGAAACCAATAAATAAATGCTCTCGTCTTGGGCGTTTTTGTTTACATAAATTAATTATAACTAAATTTTGATGGAAATTTATATGAAATATTTAAAATTGTTCATGAAATATAATATATTATGTATCTATAATTTAAAAAAAACAAAGTCGGTTCTATTTGGTTATTTCTCCTTCTTATTCTTTGTTGCTTATTTATTTTTTAGATAAACAAAGATGACGTACCATAAACGTGAATAATTTCGAGCAAATTATATATCAAAAGACTCAAAACATCGAGAGACTTTCATATCTAAAACTTAAGATTGTTTAAAGGAGACTTTGAGTTGATGGGAATTACATAGTCAATGTATACTTCACGTATAGTTAAACTACATCAAGCTTTACGAATGAATCAATAATGTATAGGCAATGTATAGTTCATGTATATAGATAAGTTATATTCGTCAGTTATATTATGTGTGTGATGTATATATTATTAATATAATAATTTATAGAAAGTCCTAACTTATAAGTTTAATTTAATCCAATTTGGAATAGGATTTAACTCTTAACGTGCAGCACTTATAAAGTCCTTAAAGGATTTCAGTTTTCCTTAATTAGAATTTTTTTCGAAAGAGTAATCTTTCACTTACAATTAATTTGGATTCCAGATTTTTTATGGAAAATTCCATTAAGTTTTTTACCCATATTAATCATCACCTTAATCAAATAGGGTGAAAAAACAAAACCTTAATTAAATAGGATTAAAATATAAAACCTTAATTAAATAGGAAAAGGTTTATACATGATGCTTATATAATGAGCATCAAAACGTTCTAAACTGAGAAAAATATTATTGACAAGAAAATTGTTTTCATGTTTCGTTTATTGTGAGTAGAGATTTTTGAGAAAAAATTCAGCATAATATTCCTAATCCAATTTGTTCGTGAATTTCGTTGATCAAGGAGTTGATAGTAAAAATCGTATACACATATATATGTATACGATCTATCGAAATATTTTGAATTACAACTCTCGTCAGCAGGTTTGTCTTGGAACCTATATTTTATATGTATAAAATAATTTTTAAACACAAGTAGATTTGTCGAAAATTGTTTTTTGTATTTCGATGCATGTTATGAACGTCCACCCTAAAATCCTATATAAGTCACAACATTTATGGAAACTTTGTTATTGCTCTTCTACTGTCTTATTTCTGGTGTTGTCTCCAGATTCTTCCATCGGTACCAAAAATGATGGAAGCGCCATGCAGAAGAACTTGTGATATAATTAGCAACCTCCCTGACGATGTAACTGATATCATTCTAATGTGTTTGCCTCTACAAGATGCTATAAGGACGAGTATTTTGTCAAGGAAATGGCGGTATAAATGGGCAAAAGTTCCAAAACTAACGCTTGATCACACACTATGGGAATATACATCAACCTGTAAAGTTAGAGCTAGGCTTAGTAGTAGGATTCTGTATCATCTGTTTTCACTTCGCCAAGGACCAATTAATGAGTGTAGAATTTCCAATATTCCGGAACCAATACACTTTCGCGAGATTGACAAATTGATATTTTTCGTGTCAAGGAATGAGCTTGAGCAACTCGTGCTTGAACTTCCAAAGGGAGAAAAGTACAAATTGCCTTCCTCAGTTTTCACATGTTCGAAGATGAGACATTTAACACTTCACTATTGTGTTGTCAATCTTCCACCTACCTTTCAAGCATTTAGTAAGCTTATTCGCTTGCAATTGCTTAATGTTGCTATTTCTGACAAATCTCTTGAGAATTTAATCTCTCGTTGCCCAATGCTTGAGGACATGGAGCTGGATATCGCAGACCCTTTGAACTATATTGAAATTAATGCTCCTAAACTAAGATCCTTGAATTTTGGTAGCAAATTAAATTCTATATGCTTCAAGAATACCCCTCTTCTTACAGATGTGTCAATAATTGTGGCGAATGATGTAAATCATGATTCGGTAAATAGAGGAACATGTAATCTTGTCGAGTTTTTTGGTTCCTTGCCTGCTTTGAAGAATCTTTGTTTGGGTCATTCTATTATCAAGGTGAGTTTTCGCGCCTGAAATTAATATTTTTCATGTTCGTTCAAATTAAATGTCTTTGTGCCCTGACTTCATATTGTTTGCCTTGGAAGACACTGATTACAGGAATAATAGATAGAATCCCGGTGAAGCTTCCCATGCCTCTTGTCAATCTTAGACAGATTTACCTATTCGATATTTGTCTTAGTGATCTAGATGAAATCCGATGTCTTCTGTGCTTGATAAAAAGCTCTCCATATTTGGAAGAAATAATTGTCATTATTAATCAGGTAATTAATTAACAACTTCTTATCTCCTTTTCCTTTTCACTTAAATGTTCTAGTTTATGTTCGTTTTCTCATTTTGTAATCTTTCCTCAGGCAATTAATAAAGAAGGAGGAGATGATCTTCCTGCTCTTAAACTTTTGGAAGCTCAATATGATTCAGGCATAAAGTTGAATCGACTTACCAAAGTCAGATTGATAGATGTAAATGGAACAAAGGTAGAGATGGAATTTATCAAGCTTCTGTTGGCCACATCTCCGATGTTGGAAAAAATGATGATATCTCCTTACTATATAGAGCCTGAATCTCCTCAAACATTAGTTGAGATACTGAAAGAGGTCAACAAATTTCAGAGGGCGTCATCTCAAGCAAGAGTATTTTTTTGAAACTGGTAACTTGTAAAAGAAAAAATTGATTAGAAAATGAACAAAAGTCATTTTAGAGGTGGAGAATTTTAATACAAGCTACACATTGACTATGTAACATATATTATGACAAAGATATGGTAAAACATTCCCAATTTGCCTTCTTTTGCTTCTTTTTTGTAAAATATATAGTTTACATGAGTATTAGGTAATTTATACTAAGCAGATATGATCTAGTTTA